AATAAAATATCCACTTTCATAAATTTCAAATGCTTTATTAAATAAAGTATTTTTCTGTTTATTATATATAAAGGACAGTCTTTTCAAACAAAATAAAATAAAATATCCACTTTCATAAATTTCAAATGCTTTATTAAATAAAGTATTTTTCTGTTTATTATATATAAAGGACAGTCTTTTCAAACAAAATAAAATAAAATATCCACTTTCATAAATTTCAAATGCTTTATTAAATAAAGTATTTTTCTGTTTATTATATATAAAGGACAGTCTTTTCAAACAAAATAAAATAAAATATCCACTTTCATAAATTTCAAATGCTTTATTAAATAAAGTATTTTTCTGTTTATTATATATAAAGGACAGTCTTTTCAAACAAAATAAAATAAAATATCCACTTTCATAAATTTCAAATGCTTTATTAAATAAAGTATTTTTCTGTTTATTATATATAAAGGACAGTCTTTTGAAACAAAATAAAATAAAATATCCACTTTCATAAATTTCAAATGCTTTATTAAATAAAGTATTTTTCTGTTTATTATATATAAAGGACAGTCTTTTCAAACAAAATAAAATAAAATATCCACTTTCATAAATTTCAAATGCTTTATTAAATAAAGTATTTTTCTGTTTATTAGGCCACATAAAAAAAAAATAGTTGGTTAACGTCCCCGCCCGCCCACAAAAAAGGCCCCGCTCAGGATTTTTTTTTATTTTTTATTTAAAAAACCCCCGACTTTTATTGATCAACGGGCTCCAGTATATGTAGTATTTCTGTTGACTGTAGTCAATTGTGTTAATAAGTTGCGAAATTAATTGCGTGCGAAAATGACGGTATGAATTATATTTTCAAATATATAAAAAAATATCTGTACTGCGCAAGAAAATCCAGTTTCGGACCTAACAGTGAGTAAAACCAAGGCGTTAAAAATTAGTAAAAATTAAAAAAAGCGCCCGCCCGCCCACTTTTTGGCAAAAGCTAAGGACGCTAACCAACTATTTTTTTATATGGCCTTATATATAAAAGACAGTCTTTTCAAACAAAATAAAATAAAATATCCATTTTCATCAACTACAAATGCTTTATTTAATAAAATTGGTGATTGGTTGAAAAGCGATAATTTTCACATGTGAGATTACCAGTTTTATCAGTGCTCGGAATCTCTATAAAGCACTATACTTTATATAATAAATTATATTATTAACCTTTTATTAACGGCATTAGGCTTCAGTTAACCTGATTGTCAGGCCTTTAATTGGGGCTTCAGTATTCAGTAATTAGCACACTGTAATTTATTCACAAACTGAAATCACGAAATGTCACTCAAAGACCCCTGCTCAGAGACAATACAAAGGAATGGCAGTAAAGAGACCAATTTTATCATCAATATTAGACAATAAGGCCGCCATTGGCGAGCAAGGCTTAAAACTACAATGTTTGGATTGGTTTTTTGAGGTCTTTTGGGTTATTATGTTCAAATACTCATTGCGTGTTATTTTGAGAGTTGACGGTAATGTAAACACGACTTAACCCCAACTTTTAACCGCTCCTCCGCTGCGCTTAGTCGTTTGCCCAAACAATTCTTTACATCAATCGAAGGCATTTTATTCATTTATTAAACATGCTAAAGCTTGATCAATTCAAAGGATTATCACATGGTGAAAAATTATTTTCTTTATAATTTTAACGAGGTGAGAGCTTGACCTCCAAGGTCGACTCAAGGTCATGTAAACACGATTTTACCCACAATTTGAAAAGCTCTTGTGCAGCATTCAGTCGTTTGCCCAGAGAAATATTTATATCAATCGAAAGCATGTTTATCATTTATTCAGCCTGCTAAAGCATAATCAGTTTAATGGTTTATCACATGGTGAAAATTAATTTTCTTTGCGACATACTTTTAGCGAGCTGAAATTTATACCTTGGGAATAAAATTCTTTCTGATCTTACAATTAAAACAAACTTGCTCAAAATCACTTAAACATATGTTTAAACACCAAACTACAAGATGATAGGACAATTTAGCCTTTTATACTTATTTTCGTTGTATATTTCGAGGCGATCAAATATGGCATAGATATCGCTTCGTAAAACAAAGATTTCAGCCGCTTGGCCTAAAATTGCGATTTCTCAAATACTAAAATATATTTCTTGAAAAAACTTTACACAGTTTTTTATCCTATCATAGACTATGTTGAGGCAAAGTTTGAGCGAAATCGAATTTTTTATTTTTGCCGTCGATTTTCGAAATTGCTTGTTTTTTCCTGACATCGGCTCTTAAATCTTCAAACCTCTGGAAAGATGACCCAGAATGGCTACTTTGTAAATCACGTTGGCCATCTTGGAACGCGGCAAAGGTTCTCCACATTAACGACATCGACCCTGTCAACGAAGAAGTGGTACCGGTACCCGAAGAACCACCACCATTAACGGCTGTTCCAGGTATACATCAAGTCATCGATATTTCCAGATATAGCACACTCAACAAGCTGCTCAGCGTTACCGCCTACGTTCTGAGATTTGTGAAAATTATCATGAAACAACAAAGGGACAAAGGATCTCCAAACGTTGCAGAGAAACGCGAGTCACGATGTCGATGGATCCTGAATTCACAAAGCTTGACGTACAGTAAGGAAATTGAGAACATTCAGTCTAAATCGAAGAACCGTTTACCACTAGTGAGACACCTGCGTTTGTTTATCGACCAGAAAGGTTTCATTCGCTGCGGTGGCAGGCTCCATAATGCACCCCTTACAGAACAAGCGAGGTTCCCTTACCTTCTACCACCAAACCATCCGTTTACCGCCCTTGTCGTCTACGACACCCATACCAAGCAGCTTCACTCTAGTACAGCCTCGATAGTCACCGCACTTCGCCAAAACTTTTGGATTGTATCAATGCGTCAGTACGTTAAAAAATTACTACCAAAGTGTGTAACCTGCAAAAAGGTTGATGGAATACCGTATAAAACCCCCGATTCAGCCCCGCTACCAAAGATTAGGATGCAGCACACGGTTCCCTTTTCTGTCACCGGAGTCGACTACACGGGCCCCTTGTACGTAAGATCAAATAACGGTGAAATCAAAAACTATATTTGCCTATTTACCTGTGCAACGACGAGAGCCCTCCACTTGGAAGTTGTCGCAGACCTGACTGAAAGAAGTTTTCTCCAAGCTTTCCGCCGGTTTGCGAGTCGCAAATCTTTACCGAATCTTATGGTATCGGATAACGCCTCAACATTCACAGCTAGTGCAGATGAACTCAAGGAACTATTCCAGTCACCGAGCCTAAAGGAAACATTCTCCAATCGAGGTGTCATTTGGCAGTTTATACCCAAAAGAGCTCCTTGGTTTGGTGGTTTCTGGGAGCGACTTATTGGACTTACCAAGAAATCCCTCAAGAAAATACTCGGAAGATCCTTCGTAACCGTCTCCGAACTACAAACAATCGTAGTTGAAATAGAAGCAATTCTTAACGATCGACCTCTAACCTGTATTTCCAGCGACGTCCAAGACGATGAGCCACTCACACCTTCCCACCTCTTGTACGGGAGAAGAATTACTTCCTTACCTTACCCAGATAACGGAGATGAATTAAAGGACCCCAACTACGGAGATGATTCGGCCTTAAGAAGAAGAAACAACCTACAAGCGGCAGTTTTACAAAGATTTGGGTCTCGTTGGCGACACAAATATTTGACATCGCTTCGCGAATTTCATAGAAGCAGTGGGAACAACGAACAAACGATAAAGGAAGATGAACTAGTTATGGTCCACGATGATAAACCCAGAAACACATGGAAATTAGCAATCATAGAAGAACTTATTCGAGGAAACGATGGATTAGTGCGAGCCGCAAACATCCGCACAAAAAATGGTCGCACGAACAGACCAATCACCAAATTATACCCGTTAGAGATCTCCGCAGATATTAGCAAAGAACAACAGAAACAATCGAATGGCGCGGAAGAAACCGACACGCGAACAATTGCTGAAAACAATTCATCACGACCAAAGAGAGCGGCGGCTCTAAGAGCAAGAAACAAAATTTCAAAATGGGTCGAAGAACTTTCCCCGGCCCCGGAGGATGTTGAATAATGCTAGATTAGATTACTAACTTTAAACCTATCTTTATCTTTAAAGTAGATCATTAACATTCATATTTCTAGGCTAGTTTTGGGTTAGCTGTGCCTCGTCACATGACAGTTGTTTTGGCGCACTTTTATATAGTTTTAGAAAAACTCGAAACACAACGCTTTGTAATAGTTTTATACACAATAATATTCAACCAAACAAACCTGGTCCTCGTCTTTTACGACAGACGTACAAACAAAAGATAATGCAAATTTAGTTAATCAACAAACTGTTACAGGGCCTTTTTTAAGGATCTTCCAGTGGGGGGGCATTTTTTAAAAAGGGACCTTTCTGTGAGATAATATATTAGAGGGGGATAGCAATGGCTTAAAGCCATGTGTGTGGCAAATATACCACGCATGAATGGGGGGTCTGGTGGGGGTGTACTCCCCCAGAAAATTTTTGAAATTTGACTCCCGGAAATGTCATTTCCTGCATTCTGAGCATCCAAATTTGCTCCAAAATTTATCCTAACTATACTTGTATTTGAAATAAATAAAGGAAGAAACGCACAAAAAGTTAAAAAAAAATTAACCATCATTTATCATTACATATTAGAGGAGGATAGCAATGGTCAGGTGTGTGGGAGTGTACTCCCCCAGAAAATTTTTGAAATTTGAACCAAGGAAATGCCATTTCCTGCATTCTGAGCATCCAAATTTGCTCTAAAATTTATGCTAACTATAGTTGTATTTGAAATAAAAGATGGAAAAATGCACAAAAAGTAAAAAAGAATATTAACTGTAATTTATCATTACTTATTAGAGGGATAATCCCAAGAAAATTTTTGAAATTTGAAACCGTGAAATGCTATTTCCTGCATTCTGAGCATCCAAAAAATAAAAAAAAAATATTAACAATAATTTATCATGGCTTAGTGGTAAAAAAAGTAACAATTTAAATCGATTTTGTGAAACAAGAACAAAGGATAAAGCCTAAAACTTACTTTCCGTTTATCTATTTGTTAATCTTCGCTGGATTGTTTGTATAATTTTAGGAAAAAGGGACTTTTCCTGGGGGGGCAAAATGTGATTTCGTGGGGGGGCACAAGGGGGGACAAATGCCCCCCAGCTTGTATGTTAAAAAAGGCCCTGAACTGTTATGTAGCAAAATTTACATAAATTTGTGTTCATTTAAAGAGATTTAAGCTCCTATGCCTTCAACATGTTGAACGAGAAGAAATTCGCGTTAAATTTGCATTTAAGTTTTCAGTGATGATTAGCATTTCAAAGCCTTGTGGGACTAACTTTGAAAGAAAAAATGTCCAATTCCCATCGGCGGAAAATTGTGATTTTTATGGACTTTTTTTGTCAAAGCAATACTCCTTCATTTTCCAACTAAATGACGCGTACTATGGCGGGTGATGTGTGTCAAAATTCAATAACACATTTGGCAATGATAACGTACCATTTTGCTACAATAATAACACATTTGGCAACGATAAAGTAACCTTTTGCTATAATTTTGTGGCGGTTACAAGACATTTGTTAACAATAACAAAACATTCAATGACAAAGTATTATTTTGCAACAACATAAACGTTTCGTTTTAATATTTGCCAACAATCGTACATTTGGCAAGTACAATCCCGTGATGTAATTGGGCACTAGCTCCAAATGGTGCGAAAACGGTGCATAAATGGCGCGTAATTTATAATATTTTCACACAAAATAGCGATCAAGATATCGAAGAAAACGGAGTACGAACTGCTCTTATAACGCGATTGGAAATGTTATTGACTGATGTAACGGAATGCCTTTCAACAGAGCTTGATGATGTTATTGATCGTATTCGCGATTTTTCTGAAGACCTTTATCGATGCCTAGCAAATCTGACAGCATGAAATCCTGAAATTTACAGCGAATTGCTACATCAGGCCAGACTTCTCGTAGATGTCATACAACGTCATATTTTGAATAATGAAAATTATGGACCGGAAACATTGAGAATCATCCTAAGGTCAATGCCAGGTAGACCAAAATTTGAAATTTTGAGAGACCAGCAGCAGTATCTGCAGATGTATTTTGTGGTTAATTGGCCACACCATCCAGTAGCTGTACAATTATATATCGAGCTTGTAGTAGAGATGACTGAATATCATCTGACGCCGAAGCCATGTTTACTTAAAAAAGCACATGTAATCCAATATCGCGAAAATAATTACGCACCATTTATGCACCGTTTTCTCACCATTTGGAGCTAGTGCCCAATTGCATCACGGGATTGTACTTGCCAAATTGTACGATTGTTGGCAAATATTAAAACGATACGTTTATGTTGTTGCAAAATAATGCTTTGTCATTGAATGTTTTGTTATTGTTAACAAATGTCTTGTAACCGCCACAAAATTATAGCAAAAGGTTACTTTATCGTTGCCAAATGTGTTATTATTGTAGCAAAATGTTACGTTATCATTGCCAAATGTGTTATTGTATTTTGACACACATCACCCGCCATAGCATACAGCATGACATTTGAAAGGTAAATAAATGAACTTAACAATGGTGTAAAAACCAACCGAATTTGTCAAATATATTCTGCGTTATTACACGCCAAATTTGGATTCGAATTATTTTGATACACACTGTATAGTATTTTGGAAACTTTTCAAATTCCCATCATGAAGTTTTAGAATTTGCACGCACCAAGTAACCGCATAATTCAATATACTGATTTTAAACCACATTATCTCTGAAATGAGAGCTCGTTTCGAGACAAAGTTTATAGAAACAGATATAGTTTTCATTGTAGAATATTCTACTTAGTTTTAATGTGGTTTTACTCAAAAAAATATATATGCACACATGACAAGTTGAACCTATTGTCTTCTGAAAATACTTTGGCTAAAATAACAACTTGAGCAAGAAGACCCAAAAAGTAGTAGGCTGTTGCAGTATATCGATAATTATCGTTTTTTTTATAAATACCGATAACTCGATATTGAAATTTTCGATATATCGGAATATCGATATTTTTCGGTATTATTGATATCGCGTTTACATTTGTATATTTAAACGTCATATCAAGCTTTTTCAAGCTCTGTTTGGAGTTATTTCAGAAGGACAAAGACGATCAATGTGCTAACTTTGCGGGGAAAAGTTAGGGCGAGAGCTAAAACGTGTTTGTTTACGTTGGCGTTGCAAAGTGCAATACATAATTTTGCTTGTCAAAAAGTAAACTTTTAGAACGTAAACAACGGTGGACCGTGGATTACAAATGTTTTAAAAAAAAAAAAAAACTAACCTCACTGGACATTGTTTATCTGATAGAATAATCCTTGTTTCGAACTCGCAGTTGAATAATATGTTTTGAAACAAATTTCCCGGCCAAAATATCACACTTGATTCATCCTAAGTGTGGATAATCAATGCAAATATGCATTTTCAATTCCCAAAGCGGACATTTCACGGGCTACCGATCACTGGCCCAACACTTTATTGAAAATATCCCGCACCTGATGAGTCAGAAATCTAAAATTAGGATAAATAGACTATTTTTGTCGTTTTGTGACAATCTACATTCCAGACCCATTGTTACTGTTTCACTTGAAGACTAACATTCAGAGTATCAACATGCCAAGCGCTGTCTGGAATCATTTTAAGAAAGTAAAAGATGATCCCCAGTGTCAAATCTGTGGGAAAATCGTCAAGAATAAGGGAAGTAATACTTCAAACCTCATGTCTCATCTCAAGACAAATCACTACATGATATACAGCACGTTGCAAAAGAATATAAAAAAAGCTTCGTCTCCTCGCAACATAGTCTCTTCAACTACAAGTTGGCACGAAAATATCTGTCAATTCCTGCAAGCAGTTCGCCGTCTGAGAGACTGTTCAGTAAAGCCGGTCAGATTGTCACCGCACAAAGGTCTCAGCTAAAGCCAGAACAAGCAAATATGCTTGTGTTTCTGGCAGAAAATTTGTAAATAGAACTATATTGTTAAACATCTTTTAATAAATACAAGTTACAAAAATAGTAAAATATCTCTGTTGTTATATCCCAATATGCCGCGGCTGTTTGGCGTTATTTGAAAACAGAAAATTTGCGTAAAATTAAGCAAATTTGGCATAAAATTAAACAAATTACAATCGCTACAATCGCGAAAAAATATCGGTATTTTTTTTCCGGTATCGGTTTTCGTTTTTTTTCAAATACCGCAACAGCCTAAAAAGTAGGGTCACGAAAACAGTCGAAATCATGGCATAAAATGCACAAGAAGTTCTTCTACAAACTTAGTTTTAAACTAGATTGAACTTGCTTTAATGCTTTTAGGCAACCCGATAAATATGCGCTAGACAATCGTGCCCGGAAGTTGACGTGTCATCCAGGACGCAATGAGACTTACCCTGTTCCCAAATCCAGGGCGCAATAAGACTTAATGAGTTAAGAATAAAGATTTTCAAGAGGTAAACTTCACTTATATAAAAAGGTAAGCATTTAATTGTAGTATTCTATACTTATAATTAGAAATCGAAAACTTGTAATTTGTGAATTTAATAAATCCGGCCTGAGCATGTGTTTTCATAGTGACTGGCTTTTGTTAAATCTCTCCTTTCTGCTTGTATATTTCATATAAAAATTGTTAAATTAATACATGTATATTAATTTAAGTCCCTTGCCACCAAAATTTAAAAAGCATCAAACAACACAAGTGGGGACAAAAATCCCCACAACGTTTAAAATATTTATTCAAACAAATGTGATTAAAGTTAATAATTATATCTTTACATTTATAATTCTACAAAACACTGAAAGTTGTGTTTAAATATACAGTATCAAGCAATTATTTGTGACTGTTGATTTGATTATTAATTTATATACTGTATTAATGTGAATTAACTATACTGAAGCTTGAATCGATTGTCAAAAGACAAAAAATATCTTGACAATCAGTTGCCCAAAGACACATTGGGGCCATTTATACGGAACA